TGTGGCTAGACTTGATTGGTGGGCCGAGTAGATATGAGTATGCCTATGGCATGCCACAACAAACCTTTTGTGAATATCATTCTGAGTTTGAAGGCCTAAGTAGTTCCTATGATGATGAATCGATGAAGAAAAATTTAGCTATGGAGCAAAAGATAGCTGAGCTATCTAGCCAAGTCCAAGACTCGTGGGCTAGGGAAAGGCGCAGGGACATAGAGTATGAGGGTCTTAAGGCTCAATTAGATGCATTACTTGCTTCAGGAGGGATTCCCCCTTGTTCCAATGACGTCATTTTCCCTCCTCAACCCTCTCGGTCTCAACCTACTTGATATCCAGTCTATGGTCAACAAAGAAATATGACAGATGAGTCTAGTAGTGATGAAGAAGATGAGGATCATGTGGCAAACACACTACCACATTAGTGAAGTTTAGAGTTGTAATAGATAATCTAAGTTCTTTACTTTATGACTTTTTTATGGGACTTATTTTTTTTGTGAATGCATGATAACATTGAAATCCTATTATATAACTTATGGATTTTATGATTTTTCGTTCAATTTCGGATTACGTTGAAGGTGAGTTGCATATTGAGTTGATAAGAGAATATTTAGTAAATGTGTTGTATTAGTTGATTGTTGGAAACTCTTTGAGCTTGATTTAGCTAATTAAAAAGGTATTGAATTAATATGACGGTGATGAGCAGCTGCAAAAACAGTTACAAGCTGTTAGCTTTTTTCCAGAAAAAGAGGTCTCTTCTTTGCATTTTATTTTCCAGAAATTTCATAAAAGAGATCTCATGAGGTCTCTTTTCTGCATTTTATTTTTTAGAAATACAGTAGAGAGACCTCAGGAGGTCTCTTTTCTGCAGTTTATTTTTTAGAAATGCAGTAAAGAGACTTCACGAGGTCTCTTTTTGGCAATTTCATTTTTTATGCTATGAGATAAAGCGGCCTTGTGAGGTCTCTCTTTTTAAATATAAAATAAAAATAAATAATATAATAGTGACCTCATGAGGCCACCTTTATTAAAAATAAAACAAATGTAAATTATGAAATTGCGACCTAATGAGGTCTCTTTTTTAAAAAAATTGGAAAATTTATTAGTGACGTCGTGAGGTCTCTGTTTGGCGACCTCATGAGGTCTCTACAAAAAAGTCACCTGCATTATATCGACCTACCGTTGAGGTCTCTTTTTAGGTCTCTTTTTTCAGAAAAGAGACCTCATGAGGTCTCTTTTTTAAGTCTCTTTTTACAGTTTTTTTTAGTAGTGAAATTTTGCTGGAAGCGTTACTCCCAAATAGGTCTTACAATACACGATCTGGATTTAATTAGAACTTTAATAAGAGCTCCATACATTGAGTGAGATAAAATAAACACGTAGTAAACCGTCCAAACCTTGATTAATAATGTATCCTAGTAATTTAAAAGGAAAAAATAATTTGGAACCTATATTTCTATTTCTATTATATATAAGAGTGAAGTGGTAGGACGATCAAGGGTAAAAATGTAAATTCATTCTAACAAAAATCTATTAATAAAGATAGTAAATAATTCTAGAAACATCTTTCTATATATGAAGTGAATAATGATCAAGGGTAAAAATGTAATTTCACGCTAACAAAAATCTACCAAGAATGATAACAAGAAAATTATATAGTTCTAGAAACATCTTTAGTTATTGTTATTACCATTAACTTATTTTGTTATTACTTCACTTTCTAATCTTTTGTGAGTTATTGTGATATCTATTCATTACTCTATTTTACTATTACTTTAATTTAATTCTTAATATTTTTTCTATTCATTATGCTTATAAAAAATGCCTACTTTTAATATAAAAATTTATTATGAATTAATTATTTTAACCTTTATTTTGGCTCTAATTAATATACTTGAAAATAAATAAGTGTAATAAAATTAATAATATATATAAGATTGAAATTAAAGAAAAAGATGTTAAAAAGTAACTTTACAAATAAAAATGAATAGGATGATATATTTGCATTTAAGACGACCAATAATAAAAATATAATTTCATTCTAACAAAAATCTATTAAGAGAGATAGCAAGAAAAATAAATAATTCTAGAAACATCTTTCTATATATGAAGTGAATGATGATAACAAGAAAACTAAATAGTTTTAGAAACATCTTTAGTTATTGTTATTACTAATAACTCATTTTGTTATTACTTCACCTTTTTTTTTATGAGTTCTTGTGATATTTATTTATTACTCTATTTTTACTATTACTTTAATTTAATTCTTAATATTTTTTCTATTCATTATACTTACAAAAAATCCCTATTTTAATATAAAAATTCATTATTTAAAAATATAATTAATTATTTTCACTTTTATTTTGACTCTAATTAATATACCTGAGAAGAAATAAGTGTGATAATTAATAATATATATTAGATTGAAATTAAAAAATAAATAAAAATAGTTTCAATATTTTAAAAGATGTTAAAAAGTAACTTTAAAAATAAAATGAATAAGATGGTATATTTGCATTTAAAGTAAACTAAAAATGTTTACTAGATTATAAAAGAGTAGTTCTTCATTAAATTATATAATCAAATTTTTACTTTTATGTAATTTCAAACATATTAATATGAATAGTGAACTAATGTAAGTTTGATTTAAATTTAAAATTGTCCGGCCAAAATTTGGTAGTTTTCTATTATATAGAAATATAGAAATATGAAGTTGAGGACAATCAAGGATAATATGGTCATTTCATATATATTTCATTTTAAAATTCTATAATTCTATTTTTAAATTTGTCAAAATATTTTTTCAAGTGGCTAAATTTCCTCCATAAGTTACATGATTATTCTAGAAATTATAAATTATAAGATTTTTCTAGAACTAACCATGACACAAATAAATAGACACTAACGCATTCTTCATTTCATTCACTCCTCAATTCTCTCCCTCTCATGTGTTATACCAGTAAATTTCTCGCCCTTTATTTCTAATTTGCATCCTAAATATTACACACTTCGGTATAGATCCCTTATTAGGAAGATCAAAAATGCAATTTTTTTCAACATTAAGAACTTCATTTTTTATCAATTCCCTACATAATGGCCATACTTTTGTAAAACAATTATAAGAAAAAAGTAAAATTCACTATTTCTTAGTGAACACATCACTTCTGGGACTTGTCCATATAACAAATTTTCAGCAAAATTCAACTAATCCACATTTTTCAAACACTCTAATGAACATGCTAATGAATCAGTTAATATGTTAAATCCAATATCAATCACAATTGCAATTCTCAAAAGACCTAATTCATAAGGAATTCAACCAGTGAACAAGCTCTTCAAGAAAAAAAAATTCCAATAATTTCGGAGCATGTTATGTCATTTCCTTTGGTTCTCTTTAGACTTTTCAATTTTATGGTGTTGCTTTTCTTTTTGGATTGTAAAGATAATTTTTGAAGTATCTAATTTACTTGATTTCTCTTTTTATGTATAATCCCAAAACTTCACGTACCATATATGTCATTATATAATTTGTTGAGAAACATATATTTATTTTTTTAGTACTATTTTATCATCAGTTAAAATCATTTTGAACAAGTTATATAAATTATTATTTTAACTACCTCATGTTAAATTACTGCAATATATATTATATTAACTTTTGTTAATATTTTTAAATTCTCATTATTTGAGGTAAAACATTCATTCATCAAGTATATAAATTAATTTAGAAAAAAAAATTACTTACTATACTAAATTGTTCGCCTAATTTTAATGAATATAAAGACAAGATATAAAGTCATAACTTTTTTTTCCATCCTTTTATCACTTTGTAAAGAATGATATTGATTCATTCTAATTTTCATCAAGTAGGTCATTATTTTTGTTTGTTAAACACCTATAAAATAAATCTTAAGTGTATTCAAAATTCTATAGATGAATCAATAGACTTTATTGCTTCATTAGTTTATGAAAATTGTTAATATATTGAGACTCATAATTTTAATCTATTCTCTTGAATAATTTTCAAATAAAATAGAAAAAGAATATCATTAAATTAATAATTTAATTCAAATATATATTTGACATGATGTTAAAATAATCACTGGAGCATGTGATATTTTATTATTATTTCTTATCATATTTATTTGAAAATATCATAATAATTTTTTTTTTCAAAAATTAATTAAATTATCTAGTATATATACATAGGGATTGTGTATTATTTGGGCAGTTTGATTAAATTTTTCCATAGATCACCACTTCACTCATTTTCCATTAGTTTATGACTATCACATGCTATGATACTAATTGTCATTCCCCAATAAAGCGAAACGTAATATTTTCATCTTGACTCACTTTGTTTTAGTTAGTTTTAAGACGTTGAGTAACAATTTAATTTTAAAATGTTTATTTTATTTTCAAAGAAATAATTTATAGTTATATAAATATTTATCACTTATTTTAAATCACCTAATTTTAAAAAAAATAATCTTAAACTCCGTGTCAAATTAAATTAGGACCAAGAAAGTAGCAAGCTTTAATATCAATCTCTTTTTCTATATTCATCAATCTATCAACTACGTACTGAAGAAAGAATGTCTACTACAAGCTGCAGCTCTCCAATATTCTTAATAATATTTTTGTTTCTTCTCTTCATCCTATACATCTCCACACTAAATTATAATCATTCCATCATCACATTTTCCTCTCATCCAACAGACAATCAGCAAGCATCCCTCACTCATGTTAATAAGGTACGTATATATAGATTTTACGGATATTTACAAAGTGTGTTAATTGTCATATTTAGCAACAATTAAACTATTGTCGCTAAAGATCATTTTTGACGTAGCCACATGTAATAATGGGTGACCAGTCAAACACCTTTCGTTGAAAAATTATACAAAAATATTTTTCATATGTATATATTTTATCTTGAACCCTCTTAACTAAATTTCTGGCTTCGCGACGGTATGGTTTACTATTTTATAATTTGCATGAACAGAACAAGAGTAGTGTAGAAAAAATTGAAGAAGATTTAGGGAGAGCAAGAGCAGCTATATGGAGAGCTATTCGTTCAAGAAACTATACTTCTTATAAGGAAGATCAGAATTTCATTCCAAGTGGATCTATATACAGAAATTCATATGCCTTTCACCAGTTAAGTTTTACAATTTATATATTCTTTTATTTTACTCTCTATATGTTAGGTAAGACACATAATTTTGCAAGGAAAATATTTTCTGGAAAAAAAAGTATATCTTGATTAAAAGTAGTGTAATAATACAAGCAAAGTATGGATAGTGTTTTGATGAAAATTTTGAGTATTAATTAATATTGATAACAATGTCTAAATACTAGCGACAAACTCCTATCATTCTTTCATTATGGTATTTTTGAACAAGTTCAGAATCACGAAATGCATGTTGTTGGTATACTAATGACAATTATATTTTAGCACTATTTGTAAATGTCACTAAAGTCTATAACGATTTTCGATCTAGTGACAATTAACTAAAGTCGGTAGAGACTTTAACACTCTTTGTTAATGTGCATATTTATTTCTGCTAAAAATTATTTTTATAATGCAGGAGTTATATAGAGATGATGAAGAGATTTAAGGTTTGGACATACAAGGAAGGGGATTTGCCTATGGTACATAATGGACCTATGAAAGAGGTATATGCAATAGAAGGTCACTTTATTAGTGAAATGGAGAGTCATAATAAAGGGGGAAAAAAACTACCTTTTTTGGCTTGCAATCCTGACGAAGCTCATGCATTTTTTTTACCAATAAGTGTAGCATATATTGTTCAATATCTTTTTATTCCAGGCACAAATCATATTTTCAGAGCAAAATTACAAAGGGTTGTTGAGGATTACATTCATATAATCTCTAACAAGTATCCTTATTGGAATAGAAGCAATGGTGCTGATCATTTCATTGTTTCTTGCCATGACTGGGTACGTACGCGCTCACTCACTCGCTCTAACGAAAGTGACACAATTTTTTCTTAATTTGAAATTAAATATGCATCATTTGTTAGACGATATATCTGTGAATCGTAAAGTTGAGGAGTATGTAGGGAACATGCTCAAATATATCATTGAACTTTGAGAAAAGACTCATCTATGTCATCTGTTAAATTTTTGGCTCATTTATGCCATTTCTATTTGAGGAAAGGCTCATCCATGTCATTATTTGTTGACGAAAAACATTTATAATTTTGCAAAACCATTTTTTACACGTGGTCAATTATGATTCGACCACATCATTAATAAAATTATTTTTTGAAAGAAAAAAACTAAAATATGTCATCAAACTTTGAGAAAAGACTCATATATGACATATGTTAAAAGTTTGACTCATCTACACCATTTCAGTTAATAAATAATGACATGGAGGAGCCTTTTCTCAAACGAAAATGACATAGATCATGAGCCAAACTTTTAACTGATGTCATAAATGATTCTTCTCACAAAGTTTGATGGCATATTTCAGCCTTTTCCCGAATATGTATTCCCCCTTTTCCCTTAAAATAATATACATTTTTTTAGGTACCAGAAATGATATATCTGTTCTAATTCGTAAAGTTGAGGTGTATGACTATTTTGAAACTCAATTCAGGCACCAGAAATCTCCAATGGAAATCCAAAACTCTTCAAAAACTTCATCAGAGTGTTATGCAATGCCAATACCTCAGAAGGATTCGAACCCAAAAGAGACATTTCATTGCCTGAGGTCTATGGATTAGCCAACACACTTAATCTTGCACCACCAGACTTAGGATTACACCCGAAAAATCGCCCTATTCTTGCCTTCTTTGCTGGTGGAGCACATGGATACATTAGACAAACTTTACTTCAACAATGGAAAGGTAAAGATGACGATATTCGAGTACACGAGTACCTCCCAAAGGGTCAAAATTACACAAATTTAATGGGACAGAGCAAGTTCTGTTTAGCTCCTAGTGGATATGAAGTTGCAAGTCCAAGAATTACTGAAGCAATTTATGCAGGATGTGTTCCTGTTATAATATCAGATAATTATTCTTTGCCATTTAGTGATGTTTTTGATTGGAGTCAATTTTCGTTGAGTGTTCCAGTTAACAAAATCGAAGAATTGAAGACAATCTTACAAGGAGTTTCTCGCGGTAAGTACTTGAAAATGCAGAAAAGAGTAAGGAGATTGCAGAGGCATTTCAAGTTGCATAGGCCTTCTCAGCCCTTTGATGTAATCTACACACTACTTCACTCAGTGTGGTTAAAGAGACTTAATCTTAGATTGACTACTAATTGATCAAAAATTTGACTCGAAAGTGTCTGATACAAATGTGTTCAAGTGCTCAATTAGAATAAGTCATAATTTGAGTGTCTGAATGAAATTTCGTGACACCTTTAAGGGGTTATATATCCATGTATTATGACAAAATGTTATTGTAGTCTTTAGACACTTCATTTATAGTAATGGATATAGAAAATTCATGTGATTCAATTGAATTGATTTGAGATTGAAGTTTAGTTATTAAGCTTTCGAGCTAAGAATTCTATTATCTATGGAGAATTTCTAATCTAATGTTTTGTTTTATAGTATTTGGGACAAAATAATAAAAGTGGAGGAGGTCAACTATCTAAACACACCTCTACCAACTATCCTAACTCAATCTTCCTACTTGCGCAGTCTCGCAAAAATATGAATATCTCTCTACTCTAAAGCTATACTGACAATCAGTTTAATATGTTGAAAACTAGATTCATAGACCTTTAATTTGATAGATATAAGACCCTATAATACCTTACATATATTGGGAGAGATATTCTTATTCCTAGTTAGACTACATATGAGATTATTAGAAATACTTCCTCGTAATAAAACCTTCAACTATAATTTTTGTTTCAATGCTCCCTTTGATCTCAAACTTTGGTATAACTCTTCAAGTAACTTAATATAAGTGTTCCTTAGTTTAATAATCCATTTACAACTACTCTCTTGACATCCCAATCAACGGTGACCTCAAACAATAAGATAAGACTTATATGTCTTTGGCAGCCTAATTTAAATACTTAGAATGTGTGGGGCGTTCATTCTTCCACCCTAAGGAACATTCGTCCCTCTACTAGGAGTTAGACTCATAAAGCTAAGTCTCAAGGATTCACCATGTGTTTGGCCCCAAATTTTTCCAAAAATATTTGATTATTTCAAAAAATATGATTTATACTCATAAGTTCTAAAAATTATTAAAAACACTCATAAATTTATATTATCATTTTATAATGAATATGTTTCGTTAAAAAACAACCTTACAAGATAATTGATAACAATCAACAATAACAAAATAACAATATAGGCAAGACAATATATTAATCGCATACTCAAACTTATCATTGATTCAGTTATAGTTATAACCCATGAGACACCAATTGTTCCTTTTTCTCAATTTTATCACTCAAATTAGAACTCAAGATTTTCCGGAGGAGATAGTAACAAATATTAGTTGGAATTAATAAATAATGGATATTTTTTTTTATAAAATATTAAGTTTGGGGTAATTTGATTTTTTAAAAATTTTCAAATATTAGAACTTGGCCCAAATACTAGTTTTTTTCTAGTATTTGGGAACTTGCTATACTTGACAAATATATTTGTCAAGTTATATGACCAAACACCACTTCCCAAGTTTTTTCAAAATTTTTCTCAAGTATTCTTGGGGTCAAACGGGTCCTAAGTGTGTGGCGGATGGATCGACATGGAGGTTGTATATATAATATATGGGGAAACTACATAAATGGGCCATAAAATCCAAAATAATTACAAGTTCATACCCAAACTCAAAGTAATTCCTAAAATACCAATTCTCTCATGAATAATTACAGCTCATACCCCCTATTTATTAAGGCTGATAATTTTCGCTTAACTGATACTAAGTCAGTATCATATATTGTATTGGTATCATTAAGACTGATAATTTCTCTTAACTTGATGCTAGATCAGTATATATATATATATACTATATTGGTATCATTGAGGTTTCTTGTTTAGAAATTACTCATTAGTCAATGATACTATAAGAGTATATGCATATTGTTGTGGTATCATTAAGGTTTCTTGTTCAGAAATTACTCATTAATCAATGATACTATAAGAGTATATATTTTATGGCATCATTAAGGTTAAATTACTCAGTAGTCAGTGATGCTATAAGAGTATATATATACTCTTAGTATCATTGATTAATGAGTAATTTCGAAACCTTAATGATATCAATACAATATATATGTATACCGATTTAATATCAATTAAGCGAAATTATCAACCTTAATGGTACCAAATTACCAATATAGTATATGATACTGATTTAGTATCAGTTAAACGAAATTATCAGCCTTAATGATACCAATACAGTATATGATACTGATTTGGTATCAGTTAAGCGAAATTAGTTGGAGGTATATAGTGTAATTATTTAGTGGAGTATAAATGTAAAGGGCATATATTTGTAATTATTTTATTTTTATGGGGTATTTGCTTAATTTACCGTATATATATCTCATGCAGTGGTGTGAGATCAACAATTAGAGTGTTCAAAAAATCATTCACATGACTATCTGGCCTCTAATGCCACTTGGTTATTGTAGCTGCAAGGGTCCCAATTGGCATCCAACACCCCCATCAAATTTAGGTTGCATTCCCTTGAATGTGGCATTTTCTAATTTTCATTTACCTGCTTTTTGCACTTTTATTATACAGGCAAGTTCCCATTGCCATCAGAGATGTATATCTTTGTCAGGTTATAAGTGCTTATTGACATTTGAATGGCCATAAAGTTCGGTTTAGTTGTTTGAAGTTTCAAATTCAACATTCTTATTTTGTGTTTAACATTTACCTTCTTTTTTTTTTAAATCTTTGATTCAAGTATATGTTGATGAAAAATGGAAAGAAAAATGAAAGTCATTGTGTATGAGTTGTAATGCTATAAACTCAAGTAATTATGTTTCATTATTTAGATTTGCCAAACTTGGTATGTCTCAATTTATACGACGCACTTTTTATATTAGTTAGTCTAAAAAAATGACATATTTTTATATTTAGTAACAATTTAACTTTAAAATGTTTATTTTATCCTTAATGAAATAATTTATAGTCACCCTTTGGGATGGCCTAGTGGTTTGGGCTTGGGACTTCCATGTTGGAGGTCTCAAGTTCGAAACCCCTTGCTAGGGAAAACAAGGGGTTTGCCTTCTGGGTCGAGCTCGTCGCATCGGGCTAGCCTAGTGCGGGTTACCTCTCCTATGTGGTTTGCGAGATATTGCATAGGAGCAGGGGTTTTACCCTGTGCGCACCCAAAGGGTAGAGAAAATGATGCGCACGGGCCCAACAATTTAAATAGATTATTTGATTTTTATGATTTTTTTTGTTATGATCTAATAAGCACATAAATAAATCAAGCTTTGATATACTACCATATAAAGAAAAAAGAATTTCACATTATATTCGGTATATCCAGCTGTTGCTCATACCTCTCAAAATCACAACCATGAATATATCCATTCAACATAGATTTACCAGCACATATGTTGTGCATGTTATATCTAAAAGAGTTGCATCTTCAAATGAGCTTACAACAATTTAACGATGAGACATATGCTAGGCCAAAATAGAAATTTTAAAGAAACTTCGCAACCAAGATCACTTCAGCAAATTCTTGTGCTTCAAAAATTGTATTAGAACCAATACCATTTTATACATATGAAAGAACACATAAAAGTCAAAGAGGACTTGTCATGACAAGTAAAATAATTTAGCTCTGTCATATATTTTTGTACATAATCTATATGACAAATTTCCTCACTATAGTACTTTTCTCTTGTTTCCCCCTCCTGTCATACCATATGCTTCTCTTTCTTCTCTCCATTGTCACCAACACTTCACCAACAACAAAAAAAACTCATTAGCTCCCATAGAAAAATACCAACAAATCCTAAATAAGAAACAGAGGAAAAACATGGTTATGCACATAATCACAAAGAAGACATTGAGATGTACACATGCCCAAATTTAGCTTGGTAAAAGAATATATAAAAATTTAGCTTCCACTATAACACAAAACTTGCAAATATCAATACCATCTAAAATCCTCAATCTAGAACCTTGGTAAATATAAAAACCCCAACTAATAGGCCATGTGAATATCTTAAATGGATTCATGATCCAAGATTCGAGCGCCGAACTCGGTTAGTGATGAGCTAACTCCTAAATTAGCCTAGGAATAGGCATGCTAGTTCCAAGAATTTATTAACCAAGAAAATTTAGCATCAACATGTATAGTAATACCTCGGAGGAGCACGTAGAACATCTATATAAAATCTTTCAACTATTCAATTTTACATCAAGAAGGAGAAGTTCTCGTTCGTTAAGAATTGCCCACTCTCACCACCCAATCAGTTTCAAGTTCCAACAAACTGATCAAAGTCTCATAAGCTATAAGAATTCTTAATTCCAAGACACATTGGACTGTAGAGTTGCAACAGAAAAAGAGATAAAAATGAAAAATTAAGAAAGAAGTGTTAAAAGTATTCAGATGATAAATGAATTTCCACTAAACTTATCAATTGTAGCTAGTGCCGGCAAAATGAGCTCATATTTTGGTAACCCGCCCATATTTTAATGAGTTGGGTGAGTGATTTTTTACATGGGTAAAATATGAGTTGATACTCATATTCAACCCATAAAAATATGGGTAAAGTATGGATTAGTCAAATGGGTTAAGCTTCTAACTTTTATTCACTACAAATATATGATATCACTAAAAATATTGTAATTTCTCTTGCTTTTTATGTTCTTCTATAGAACTAATTATTTTTCACTATAATTGAAAATGTGAAGTCTTTGGCCCTCCAAAAATATACTATATTTTAAATGTACATTTCTTTTGTTACTTATAATTATATTTTTTTAATTTGTTTAATTTTATATTGGATAATAAATAATAGTGTAAAATAAGCAAATCATGTATTAGTATTGACATTGCTTAAAGTGCATTTAGCATGTTTTAGTCCTAAAATGCAAATATTCATTTACTTTGAAATTAAAAAAAAATTCCCCTTGTTATTACATAATTTTATTTTATATTGAAAAGTTATAGGATTTTTTTTTACTTTTATGATACAATAAATCTAAATGAAACATTTTCAACATTTTTCATCTAAAAATAGACTACAATATTTTATCCATGTTGAATTCTTAAGTAGAGTACTATTTACTCATGAAAATATGGGTAAATATGGGTAAACTAGTATTTT